TGGGGGCTGAGACAAAGCCAGGCACCCGGCTCTTGCCACGTCCTGTCTCCTCCACCCCTGGCCTGGGGACTCGGGGTGTGGTGACAGACCAGAGAGAGCAGCACCATAGTCCTGACCCTAATGGGGCACCACACTGGCCACCATTAGCCTGGAGGGCACTGGGCAGGGCCCAGGTCCTCTGCAGGACCCCCAAAGCCAGGGAAGTGGGAGCCGTGTCCACCTACTAAATTCGTTGGAGCCCCTGGGTCCCAGGCCCGGCTTGGCCCTCCTGGGAAGGAGGGCACTCAGCACACCGAGGCCCCTCTGGGCGGCACCCACCCGGTAGCCCCCAGCTCTCACCTTGAGCTGTGCTCCGCCTGCTCCTCGGCCAGGGTTCTGCCTCGGCCGGACTGGCAAGCCCAGAGCTGGCCGGGAGTCCTAGTGTCCCAGGGGGAGTGGGCGGCAGCTGGTCTGCCACTGCGCAGGCGTGGACCAGGAGGCTCCCCTTACACTGCCCTTGCCACCTGCCCTGGCCCTGAGCCGCCTGTGCCACTTTCTCCCTGAGGGAGCTGCTGACCCAGGACCCAGCTTCTCCTGGTGGCCTCTACTCACCGGGGTCCATCTGAACAGCTCAGAGACAGGGACGACACAAAGGAAGAGCAAGCTCAGAGTTGTGCCCCAGCTGCCACTTGCAAAACTCAGAACTGGCAAACAGTAGGATAAACCATTTTGGAATGTGAAACTGGGGGGTAGCTGGCAGGGAATCTCATCTCTACCCTGTGAGGCCTGGCCTCAAAATGGGGCTGGAGGGTCAATGCTGACTCCAGGCACTTAAAAAATGGGGAAAAAAACAAACACTAAGACATTTCTCACCTATCAGCTTGTTAATCAAAATACTCTTAGTAAAACTTGTAGCAGAGCAGCTCTACTAACCACAGCCAAAAGGCAGGAGCACCCCAAGCTCAGGAGACAATGGATAAGCATGATGTGGAGTGTTATGCAACCTTGAAAAGGAAGGAGGTTTTGACCCCTCCCCAGGGGTGGACCTGGAGGATACTGGGCGGAGTGGAGGGAGGAAGACACTGGGGAGCAGCCTCCCGAAGCCTCCCATCTGAACACCGAAAAGTGTGAACTCAGGCAGAAAGCAGGCTGGCGGGGGCTGGGAGAGGGAGCCCAGGTGTGACGGGGACACAGCTTGTGTGGGAAAGGGAACGTTCTGGAGGCGGATGGCGGTAGTGGCTGCTCCGTGATGTGAGGTCAGCCCTGATGAAAGGTGCATATAAGTATGGTAAGGAAGATCAGTTTTCTGAGTTAAATGCACAATTTAAAAATACAAAAGAGCCGGGGATGTAGCTCAGTGGTTCCGCCTCCTGCTTCGCAAGCACAAGGTCCCAAGTTCGATCCCTGGTACAAAAAAAAAAAAAAAAAAAAAAAAAAAGAGCAAAGTCCGGATTAGCAATGTGATGGGCAGCAGCCTGGCTGGAGTCATTGACAGTGGTGCAGCCAGCAGCCTGCACCGTGCTGAGGGCCAAGTGAAGATGGGCCGTGCTGTGTCCCTGCACCCTTACACCTGCACTCGGACCTCTAACACCACAGCACGTCTGCCCCAGCCCTAGACAGCAGTGAACCTCTGGGAGACTCAGAGCTCATAGGGCCAGGCCTGGGGGCAGCATGCCTGAGCCAGCCCCTGGCCTGTGGGCCCCTGGCCCCTGGCCCCTGACATGATGGGTGGTTTCTTTCCACCTCAGCGCTGCATCTTTGGGGCAGAAGGAGGCAGCAGCCCTCCAGGTCTCAGAAACACTGGTCCCGTATTTGAGTCTGTGCCTGGGATCTGTGGGGTGCAAGAGGCCTGTACTCTGGGGTCGGCCCTCTGCCCACAGGTAGATCGGGTTGGGGATGGGGTTAGGTTTAGGGTTAGGGGAAGGGGCAGGGACAGGATTAGGGTTTAGGCACAGGTTTAAGGGTAGCAGGTGCCTCCTCTGAGGGCCCAAGACCCCAACTGGCCCTGAGACGCACAATGGGCTGTGGTGGGCTCCTCCTGGTGTCCCTAACAGTTCCCCGCAGCCCTGACCTCAGAGGCTGAGTGCAGCCACACTGCCTCCAGCGGCACGGTGCTCTCTAGCTGAGTCCTGCCTAGCTGTACCCTGCTCCTTCCGGTGGAGACCAGGAGCACACAGACCCTGGTGGGGCGGTGCTCCCAGCACGTGGTCCCCTCTGGCTCTGGGCCTGTGGAGGAGACAGTCCCCATGTTCCTGAAATGGCATCCCAGGGACCTGCCAGCATGTTACTCTGTCTCCAGATCCCAGCCCAGCAGGCAGGAGCAGGCTTGCCTCTGTCAGCTCTGAGATTGGGGGTGTCTGCGCCAGGCTGCACTGTGTGACAGTGGCTGGCTGTGAAGCAGATCAAGAGGGTGATCACTGACTCCAGCACCCATGGCCATGGGGCCTGGACTGAGTAGCAGGTGCCCTCCTGGTGTGCCCTGCCCAGCCTCAGGGAAACGCAGGAACACCGGCAGGGAGACTCCTCTGCCAAAGTCCCTGCCTGTGCCTCCGGCAGCTGGTTGTCATTGTGAGCAAGCCCACTTGCATTGTTTTAATGAACTTCCTGACTCTCAGGCAGACAGATCCATGTGAAGTTTTAAGGAGCAGCACAGAAGGACACTGGTAAGGTAAGGAGCCTTACCAAGCCCAGACCCACTGCCTGATGTTGCAGCCAGGACAGAAACAGCTGGCGGAGGGGCATTCGGACCTCTGCAGCCCTGCAAAGCTGCTGCAACCACTGGCATGGGGGCGCTGACCGCTCAGGGGCTGGGGGGGTCCTCACAGCCCAGGGGCGACTCAGCCCTGAGCCAGGGCTGTCTATGAGGAGGTGGCTGGGACCCCTCCCGAGGTCCCCACTGTTCCTCCGGAGGTTGCCCCAGGGATGCAGCACAGCTGGCCTCCAGGAAGGACCTGGAGAGTCAGGAAGGTGGGGTGGAAAAACAGAACCACCCACCCGGTGCTGCCTGTGAGGGTCCCGAACCTAGGCCAGGGGATGGTGTCACGCTGGACGAACAGCCCAGTCACACTGCATGGCCCAGAACAATGCTGACCCCAGAGGACCAGAGTCCAGGCAGAAAACCAACGGCCAAGGGCTGCCACATCCATGAAGCTCTCATTACGGCAGAGTTTGGGGTTGTGGGGGTGCAGGGCGTCACACTGTGGTGTGGTGGGGAGGGCGAGAGTTACCGGGGGAGAAGGAGAGGAGGGCAAGGGGAGGGGTGTCACTTGCAGTGGAAGTTCACAGATCCCCGAGTGGCAGGCAAGGCAGGCCTTTCTGCCCTCTGAGAATAAAACGCGTGTTTGCAAGATGGCCACACCACACATCAGGGCTCAGAACACTTTCAGAGCGAACACGTGTGGGTCACATTCTCAGATCTCAGCTCTATAACTAAAACACTCATGAGACAAAATTTCAATAAAGCCCGGCACAGGGAAGATTTTAATCCTTCCCCTGAGTCCTGAGCCAGAGGACCTTGAGCAGGAATCTCATCCTGTCCTGGCCCTTGGAACACAGAATGTCACATGTCCTTTGTTATTTTTTGGTTTCATTGTTCAGATCGAAGAAAGAACAAGTAACACAGAGATTGGAACAGAAAGGGAAAACACACAGACAACAAAAGTAAAAGAATGGAATAATGAGAGAAGCAGAAAATAATTTTAATTAATAGATGGAAATAAAGTATTTGTAAATGGGGAGGGGAGGAGGGGTGAAGGGAGGGCAGGGACAAGGGGCAAAAATGAGAACCAAGACCTGTCATGTAAAGGTACAAGATCCCAATAATGAATGTAACTACTGTATACCTAAAATGTACCAATAAACTCAATTAAAAAAATAAATGCAATTAAAACGATTTTTTAATCCAAACGACAGTTCTTCAAAACATACAACATTATGATGCAGAATCTGGGACTTCCTTTCACCCTGGAAACACTCAGGTCCACAGCACAGCAATGCAGACAGGCAGTGTGGACGCCAACAGTGAGTCCGCAGTGAGGAGGGGGCTGGCAGGGGCTGGGCATCAGGGGGTCCCGAGGACCACTGGCCACTGCCTGGGGACTGGGTGGGCGAGTGGAAGGTCCCGTGCAGCCCAGTGGTGCACAGAGGGTCATGGGGAGGTGGGGCGCCCTACCCACAGGGAGCAGCCCAGAATGGGAGGCCACCTGGGCATCCTTCAGGGAGCAGGGGAGGCGATCACTGCCCACACTGCCCCCGCGTGGCTGGTTCTGGTACAGTGCAATGCACAACCCCAGGCCCAGAGAGCGCCAGAGGCTGAGAAGCACGGCTTCAGGGGTCTGCTGCCTGGGGTGCAGCCCCTGGAGCTGGGCAGGGGCAAGGGTCCTCCTGTTGAGATGTGGGAGGTCACGCGGAGATCTGCGTGGCGGAGCACAGCGAACCGCACCCCACTGCCAGGTGCTCCAGGGCACAGAGTTCCAGCTGCATCTGAGGCCCCGAGGGCCGGCGCTGTCAGCCAGGCGCCACCTCCCCTGACTCTCAGCCCTCCCCAGCCTCTCTGCTGGATACCCCTGGCTCTCTGCCCCCTCTGGCTCTCTGCCCCCTCTCACGGCCCCTCCCGCTGGCCCCCTCAGGACTAGCTGGGGCCAGCAGGACTTCCAGCAGGGGAGGACGGGAGCTCAGCGCTCAGAAAATCAATTTTATGGGGGTGCGATTCACAGGCCATAAACCGCAACCCCAGAGGCATGGGCTGGACACGGTCTGACACATGGACGTGCCCTGAGCCTCCACGCTGCAGACACAGCTGACCCCTGGCCCGAGCAAGAGCACAGCCCTGCCCCAGCCCGCACCGCAGCCTCCTGTAGGACGGAGCTCCTGCGGGACCTCATAGGTCCGCCTGCCGGGCAGCCGCCTCAGCTAGGCGGCTCCCTCTGGCATCCTGAGCTGTCTCCACCCCCGCCGTCCTTATCTGCTAATGCAGGCTGGACTGCCACCTGCTTTTCTGGACCACAGGGCAAACCTGGGAGCCCGCTGCTGTGTGGGCGGGTATGGAGCAGCGCTGTGTCACAGCGGCACACTGAGCTTGCAGAACCGCGTCCCACGTGGTGGGCCATTTAGCGCTACAGTCTTGCCCCGCCCTTGCCAAAGCTCAGCGCTGCTTTTTCAGTGTCAGCCTTTCCCATGGAGCGGCGTGGCCCTCTTTCCTGGATGACGAGTGACCGTGACCCAAGGCACCTTCTCACGTACATGGTAGTCATTTGTCTATCTTTGTAAAGGGTTTGTCTCACGCATATCTTTAAAATGGTTTATTGATCTTTTTGTTTCTGGGGTGTACAGGTTGTTCATGTCTTCTGGGCAGGTCCAAGTCCTGTCGGATCAGACACAAGACATGAATATTTCCTCCCAGTGTGGCCACCTGCAAGTTTACCACAGGATCTCAGGTAATGAACACCACTCGGTACCCTCTGTCACGGCCTCAGCTTCCTGTGCACCGTCCAGCAGGGAAGATGCCTTCCTGTTTCCACCCATGAGGCACCAGTGCCCCCAAGGACGAGGTGTACGGCTCAGTTCCCATGGAGGAGCCACTGGGAAGAGAAGCTGCAAGAGGCTTGGCTGGTGGGAGGCCTTGGGGTCCCTGTGCACGAGCCCCAGGCGATGCGGGTCCTGGCCCTTCCTGGTTGCCTCTGCCTGCAGATGAGATGAGCAGCTTTGGTGCACTGTGCACCCCACCTCGCCTCATGTTGTCTGCCTCCCCATGGCCCAAAACCCCGGACCCAGCAGCTGTGCACCGAACCCCCAGACTGTGCCACCACAAACCGCTCCTCCTTTGGGTCCATTATCTCAGGGGTTTTGTTACTGTGACACATGGCAGAGGAATGAGGCCACCTGAGCAGGGGCGTGGAAGGCAACGAGCCAAGGACTTGGTTCACCTGGGTGCAACCCTCGGAGGGGGACAAAGCCATCAATGGAGAAGAAAGAATAGGCAGAGTTTTATAGGGGCTTGGGAAAGGGATCTGTCACGTACAGGGGTCAGAGCAAGTATTTGGGGTCGGGGTCCATGCAACCACCAGTGGACGTTATCAGGTAACTGGGGCCAGGAAGATGTTGTGCTGTGCTTTGTAGTCTTATCTCTTTTGTAACATTCCGTTCTGTGCTCTCCCCACCCAGGGACAGCACAACCTGTTTCTGGTTTTTTAGCTACCTGGAGAAGCAGCATATTTTACTGAGGGTTGCGGTTTCTTGTATCTGCTAAAACTGTATTTTGAAATGAAATAACATATTCGTTAAACAGGTCACGGCCAGATCAAGCCTGACAGTTGCAATGACAGACAGTGGACATTCACCATAGAGACCACCTTCCTGTGACGCCAGTCACCAGGTGTCTGTCCCCGTGAGCATGGAGGTGGTGAGGAGTGGAGTCTGTAACTTGGTTGACTTTAAGTAGCCTCTTGTGGCTATTACATAACGACCACCACACTAAGCAGTGCCGGTTAGAAGTCTGTCTGCCTCTTCCCACAGCCTCACAGGCATCCAGCTGTGGGCCGTGGGCCTGAGCAGGGGCTTTTAATTTATGCCTGTAATGCATCCCGAGTCAGTGTGTGCACAGTGTGCCCTAAAACTGGTGCTCTTTTGGGGTGTGGTAGCCTCCTGAACGCTGGGGAGTGCCAGCCCGGAAGCCACCTCAGGCCATGCTCACATCTGCCCACATATACAGCCCATTCTTGAGCCCCTGGACTGAGAACAGCCCTTTTCCCCTTGACATCACAGTTCCTGTGTGTGATAGGCTGTCCCCAAGTGAGCAGCTCATCGTCTGCACACCATCTTCTTTGCTTTTCTTTCCCAAAATATTTCAGCTGCTGTGGGTGCTCCATGTCTCTGTATCAGCTTTGAAACAGTGGCTCAATTTCTACAGAAGGAAAAGCCGTGGAGAGTTTGGACTACACAGACCAAGACCACTTGGGATGTTCACATCGATGAGCCTCTGAACCTACAGAGAAGGCATCTCCCCCACAACACTCCTATTTAGATACTTGTTTTCTCAGCCAGGTTTCCTAGCTCTTTACAAGTACTAATTTCTCCCAGCAGTGTTTCATCACTTTGGGTATCCAGCACTTACACATTTTCAATTAAATTCTTAGACACTTTATAATTCTTTGATGTTGTCAGTAGTGTTTTTAGGTTTTATTTTCTAGCTGTGATAGTCAGCTATGGCGTCAACACGGATAAGAATAGCCTGCTTATTGGTTCCAGTGGGTCTGGATGAAGGATTTACTGGAGACAGTGTGGGTGGCACTAACCGCTAGGCTTGCAGCCCCGGTGGGATACAAGGGAAGGAGGAAGTCACTTCTGTCTTCGGAGGCGCTCCAGCCTTCACCTTCGGGGGTCGGTTTCCGGGCCTCAGACTCTTTAGCTTCCTGACGCAGACGCCATGAGATGCTGCTGTGAGCTCCAGGCCGTCCACCTTTGATGGGGGAGGGGGTGTTCGGCTCCCCAGCTCACAGATGGCCTCTCATCTCCCACTGCCAACTTCAGGCGGCCACTGAGCCTACCCTGTGAATCACATCTACAGAGCAGTACACTGCACCTGTTCTTCCAGTGAGCCCTAACAGATACACCAAGTGTTTGTTGCTAGGATTCAGAGACACAATCAACTTCGTATGTGGACTCCGTACCCTGTGATCTTGGAAAACTGACCCATCTTACTGTAGAGTCTAAACCTGCCCTGTCCTAGTACTTTAGTAATTTTTAAGGATTTTCAGCCTTGACAGACCCTCTGTGGACAGAGCACACCTCTGCCCTTACACTTCTCTCCCTGTCCTGCCAAATCCCGTCCACTCTTCAGGGTGGGTTCCCCACCTAAGGCACACAGCTCGTGGCCTCTTTACCCCACTAATAATGTCACCTTCAGGCTTCCTAAATAGCAAGTCTGCAGCCAGCACGGCCTCCCCAGGAGAGCCCTGTCCCCAAGGGTGTGTGATGTGGCAGAAAGCTGGGGGCCGATGCTGGCAGGTGGGGGACTGTGACACAGGTTCTGGCAGTGAGGACAGGGGTTGGGCTTCCAAAGTGGCTGCCTTCCAATCCCACCTTGCCCTGGCCCTGCTTATTTCAGTCTTCAGAACATCCTGTTGCTGTCTGACAGTTTTCTGACTGTTGGCCCAGTGCATGGCCCCTTCGTCACCCACAGGAGGTGGCCCCGAAGCTGCAGGGGGAACTGTCAGGGTCAGGGTAGAACTGCAGCCCAGAGCCACGTGTCCGGGGGTGGGGGCAGAGACAGCCCAGGACAGCCCAAGGCTAGGGCCTGAGGTGACCAAGGAGGTAAGGTGAGGGCCCTGGGGTTGGGGTGTCGAGGCCATGTCTCACCACAGGGCAGGGCAGCCCCTTTGCTCCCTTGTGCAGTCACTCAAGGCACCCTGATAATGTGGGCCAGAGCCCAGACAGTGTGGGATGCTAACCAAGCTTAGCTGTTCCCTGGCTGGAGCCCCTTCTGTCCTCCTCCAATTGGATCTGTCTGTGCCCTCTGGGCTGCGGCAGGAAGTAGCTGCCACGCTTGGTAACTGTCAACGAGTCCTGCCGATAGAGGCTGTGACTATGCCACCCTCACGGGCTCACTGGAGGGAAACTGAGGCTTGGGGTTAAGGGGTTCGCCTCAAGACCGGCTTCCCCTCAAGTCCCAAAGGGAGGAGGTGGGGACAGGAGGCTGTGGCTGGCCACAGACAACAGTGTGGCAGGCAACCCTGGGCCGCGGGGACGGCCATGGCTATTTGGTATCACATGGGGACACCATGAGAGGTCCCTGCCCACTGCTGTGGGTTGGGCTCAAGTCCACCTGAACTCGCCTTAGGGTGGAGAGACGAAGGGGTCTCTGAGCCTGCTGACCCAGTGTCCACGGGCAGCCATGACCACTGCAGCCCACGGGCCACCCAGGGGCCAGCATTCACTCTGGTCTGCCATGTTCCCAGCAGCCCATGCTGCCTTGCACATGGACAAATGTGTAAGATCCTCTTACAAGTGACGACTGACATGCAGGACCCAGGGACCTGGCCGCTCACTACCAAAAATCTGCTTTTGCACGTCTTGACCTTTGTGTACAATAGACACTTTCTCATATGGAATTCCCCGAGGTACCGGAGGTTTCTGGAGGCCCTTCCTGCTCCCCCCTCAGGGCAGTGGCCTCTGGGACTGCTGGTCACCATGGTCCCTTCCACCCACAGCTGCTCCTGCAGAAACCCAGGGCCTCCGGTGGTGAGAAGACCTGCAGTATGGCTTGGGCAAGCTCGTGCCCACCTAAGAGGTGAGGGACAGGCCGGCAGGAGCTGCCCACAGGAAGGCACCATCCTCACCTGTGGGCAGGCTCCTCCTGGCTGAGCCCTGTGCTGTCTGGTCTGTGACTTTCCCGTCCCTGAGGTCTGGGACCCACCCCCACCGCCTGCTCCCAGAGGGCAGCACTGCCAACTATCAGGGAGGACAATGTCTAAATTGCTGTCCTCAAGTCTAGAGTGCAGCTTGAGAGTGTGGACATCATGTGCTCTCCCTTGAAATTCTGCCACCTACTGCATTCCCCTTTCAAGCCAACAACCCCCATTTTAAATGTCTGGAGCTTGTTTCTGCTGCTTTGTACACACAAGGACCCATGGGTGAGGGCCAGGCAGTCTTGGTAGGTGGCAAGTGGATGCTAGGACCCCCTGGGGGTGAGGGACAGGAGCTGCTCTGTCCATGCAGCCCATTCAGGCTGGGGAGAAGGGTAGGGGCGCCCTACAATTCCTGCAGCTGAGCCAGCCTTAGGGGTCATCCTCCCGGACACTGCCTCGGACTCGGGGGTGGAGTCTCCTGCCCAGAGAAGGCGCCCAGCACACTTGCTCGTACTTAAGTCCAGAAGGTTCTGGCAGCTGGCTGCTGGCTGCCCTGCTCTGTCCCTTGCCTGGGACCTGCTGTTCCCAGGAGGCTGGCCCACCGCACCTGCTCACTTCTGGCCTCCTGCTAGGAGTGGCTCTGGGCCTGATCTGCAGGTCTGCAAAGCAATGGGCACAGGCAGGGGTCTGCGGCCCGGCCGAGGCCTCTAGGAGAGTGGCCGGCTGCCAGAGTACCCCTGCGGAGCGTCCCACCAGCTAGGCGCGCGGGAAAGATGGCCCACCGTACTTTCCAACTCAGCTCCCTGCTGGCAGCAGGTCAGAGGGAGGCCAGGCCCTGGCTGTGGCCCAGGGAGGGTCGGCGCCAGGAGGGGGCACAGCGCCTAGGGGCCCGC